TTCCTTCGAGTGTTTTATTAAGACCACGCTCAAATTTCAATAGATCCTTTCATTATTATTTGACATAGAGTGGTCTTAATAAAACACTTGAAGGAAAGGTATAATATGATAAAAATACCAGCCAGCTAGCAATCGAGTGCGAAAACACTCTGTGTTAGGTGAAAATTTCGCTTGACATAGAGTGTAAAACGTACGTTGTCGACAACTCTCTATATGGAGTGTAACGCTCCCGAGAGAACTGACTATAAAAAGATCGAACAGACGACGGGTTCTGCTCGACTGATGAGTCTGTAAGGACGAAACACGTGTCTCGGGCTGTACAAGAGCCTTACTAGACCACATGACATGTTGGCTCAAATAATAATGAAAGGATCTATTGAATTTGGGCGTGGTCTAAATAAAACACTCGAAGGAAGGGTATAATTCTCATTTTCTTCAAAGCCGATGATTCAAGTCGATCTCTGCATTGTTGCGCCAACCGAGTCTTCTTTGATGGAGCACTACTTGAATGAAAAAACACCCGGCGATGCATTTATATGTAGAATGGTTGCTATGACAATTGACCACTGATACTGATTTGTTTCTTCAGGCAATCAGTTCTTCAGCAATCGGTACGGTACCGTCTAGCACAAGCGCTATGATTTGCGAATCGACTTACCCTTGTACGATCCGATTTCCTACTGTTAGCAATCTTTCGCTTGAATCATCGGCTTTGGAGATAGTAGGATATTTGAACGCCAGCCAAATAATGATTATCCATCAAATTTATATTAGCTCAATCATTCCATTAGCGATTTGTGAAGTCGAGATGAAATGGAAAGCCAGTTCTCAAAATGATGACAATATCCGTGTACAGGATCGTCTAGGCTACTGTGAGGTCAGAAACACATTTGATTTTCTGGCACTTCAGCACTATATTTGATTCGTCATCACAATGTTTTTTTTCACTGAGCGAATACCAGTACTTCTAACATTCAACTCGATTTCTTTTCGCCTTCTTCTTGAAAGGCTTTAGAATACCCGCTGAGCAAGCCTCCTTACAATCTGGAGGACAGTCTTGCTGTGGCGTTCCATAGGCGTTGCTGTTGACCGCCAGAGGGGTTTGAGCGGTAGAGCTCGACTCCAGCCGCGCATCACAACTACTCGGTCACGGTGCCCCAGTGCATTCATTTATAGCTTGTAAATTGATAATGCTAAATGCATACCACATTCACCACATTCAGTGACAAAAACAATATTGAAGCACATTCAGACGTCGAATAATATTCACCATAGATAGTTTCCTCAGGCATATGTCATGATTCTTAGTCCGTCCTTTCTATCTTAAAAGTGAGCGAATGCATAGTTGGCTAGACATTGACTTGTGAACACAACTAGATGCTAAATGGTTTTCATTTGTCCGAACAAGTTAGCACATTGAGCGGAGAAATGGATAGTTTGTCTAGCGTCTTTGAGGTATTTAACCAAAGATCTCATTTTCATTGCTTGACATCGCTAATTATTAAGCTGCATATCTCCTTGAAATAATAGTGCCGAGGACCGACTACTTATTAACATCGGCATGGAGCAAAAAAATTCAAATTACAATAATACGGTGTCAGACCCCATAAAAGACACATAACACTTTATCAGATTATTAGATTATTATCCTTTTTGAACAAGGTCAATATGAACACTCGAAAGTAAAGGTAGACAGTACAGTAATAATGACTGACGTTTGGCGAATTTGCCTTCTCCAAAGCCTGAAAGTTGCAACTTGATCCGCAATCTATCCAATTAAATGCTTCCATAAATTAGACATAAATCCATTCACTATAGAAAAAAGACGATTCGCACATAGTCTTCCATAGAGGAGGAATAGACGATTTTTAGCGAAGAAATAGATAACTGGAGGACTTGATGGTAAATTTCTCTCATCGGTACCCATATTCAGAAAAAAAACGTGTGTTCACTTATTTATGACATTTAGGCGGTCATTTGATAGCTTGAATTTCGAGAATATGGATGGTGTATTTAAATGCTCAAACGGTCTCCATATTGCTCTGTAACAATAAAAGTAAAATATTATTTCACACTGAAGTATTTTTGCTGAATAAAGCTTGTCTTTTGAGCTATTATTATTCATTCGAAACGCAAATTTCGCAAAAATTGAGTGGTGTACCAAGTATTTGAGAAAAACTTTCGAGTGCGCTGCAACATAGCGCACATTATTTGCTTCGGTGTGTGGATGGGATTTCGCAACGCACCGCGCTACTTGCATATTGACAGTTAATTGCGGAACTCACTATCCTTTTAGCTGTTACAGAGCACTAAAAAGTTTTCTTCAGACGCTTGAAAGATCATTGAAATTGTTGACGGCTGGCGGCTGACAGATAGATGCGCTGTGACGTGAAAAGAGCGATGTGTAAAGTGGGCGTCAGTAGTGTAACGGATAGAGCACGCATTCCCGGAAAGAGTGAGGTGCGGGTTCTAGTCCCGCCTGACGCGAAAGTTTTGCACATCGCTCTAGATCAATGGTTATCTAATTGTGACATCATAGCACTGCTATAAGCGGTTAAATAAAAAGAATTGTGAAACCCATCTACATATCAGTACAAGGTTTGTGCGTTGCATGTTGAATGCAATCATACTTTCAGTATTGCAGCGCAGTAGAATTGAAAAACCTAAAAAACAACTAATTGGTGAGTGTTTTTTTATAAAAGCTCTTTACCATACAATCCAAAAATTACTTATTTTTTTGTCAGGGTTATGGAAGTGTATGTTTAAGTAGATTCAGAGTCAATTTGGTCAGCCCTCAATAAGGCGAAACTGCCTAAGCACCGGTCATTATGGAATTACTGTAGTGTATTATCATATTCATTTTAGTCGGAATATCGTCAATCCCACATTTATTTTACCAAGAAAAAAATTCTGCGTAGTAGCACCAAATAAAATACTTCCCATGGAAATTTTCGATCCCTTTGATTAACAACCCCCATGCATTAGCGACACCTCTGTAGTGTTTTAAGCAGGTGTCATACTCGTCTCCTTCATCTAGAAACTACATAAATTTTCTTAGTAACACTTCTATGTTCCAAAACGTTACTGAATACAGCATTGGTTATAGGTTGATGAATAATTTATCAAAGTAATAGAACGTTTAAGGCTTCCTAAGAAAGATGCGAAAACATTAACGAAATGTCAGGTAGCCGGTTTGGAAAACCTGCGTTTTTTATAAGAAAATACTCAAGATTATATTTGATATGCGCACCCTGCCACTCTAAATAGCAATCGACAACTGTCGGTAAGACAGTATTATGGTTTCATAACTTTTTAAATCACTCGTATTTTATAGAAATAACAAAAACCTTGTTTATTTGGCAAATATTCCAATTTTGCCATGTATGACTCCGCAACGCTGACAAGGTCTTTGAGGGTTGTTTTCGCTCGTCGAATTGATTCGATTTCGTTATAACCTGTATCATTACTTAGTTCTATTTGCCGTTCCGAAGCCCTGATCTCCTCGGTTGGAATGTCGTTTCTTTTGCATTTCACCCATCTTCCGATTGCATATACCTGATTGAGAACAAGCCTACAGTAAACTAAAAGCTCACATTATCCTAACAACTCCTAACACGCGAAAGGTTAAGGAAAGTCTAGGTACAATTTCTCTCATACTTTTTCTTGGTATATCTACTTCTTGAATGCTTTGCCTTCTTTGTAATTATTCTTACATCAATCTCTGAGGAAAATCCCTCACAGTAGGTGTCACTGAAGTTTTGTCACATGTATGCCAAAATATTAACAAAATTGAATTTCTCATGTGGCTTTTCGAACCAGCGATAACCTTTACTAGGTGCCTGATGGTCATCATTTGAGCCAACATGTTATTTGGTCTGTTATGGCTACCTGTGCAGCCCGATGCACATGTCTCGGCCTTGGCAGTTTCGTCAGTCGGGCAGGCCCTTTCGCCCGTCAGCCAATGCTCTCTAATAATTGTCGCGTATATTGAGATGTTGAGCGTGGTCTTGAGAAAATATTTGAAACAAAAGCCATAATATTTTCAAAAATACCAGCTTAAGAACAATCGAGTATGGAACACTGCCGATCTAGAGATTTATTTCACTTGATGGCACGTGTAAATCGTTCGTCGTTGCCTACTCTATGTAGGGGGACTGGAGCACCCCTAGAGATTGACAAAAAACCAAGGGTCTGCCCGATTTGATGAGGCTGCCAAGGCCAGAACAAGTGTATCGGGCTGTACAAGTGATCATTACAGGCCACATGACCTGTTGGCTCAGATAATAATTAACGATATATTGAAATTTTTAGCGTGGTCTCGATAAAACACTCAAAACGAACTTGATTACGTTTCAGGATCTAACCGCCATACTAACCCGTCTCTTTAATTATTAGCCTTTTCCCAGTTTCCTGTGGTGGGTGTTTGATAATATTAGAGGTAGATCTTTTCTATAGTCCTAAGAGAATTGAGTGGCGAACAAAAACACGACCTCAGGCGGGAATCGAACCCACGTTTCATTCTATCCGGGGAAGCGTGCTCTACCACTACACCACTGAGGCACATTTGCCGACCACTCATTCTTCAACATCTCAATGTTAGCTATCCGCCACCAACCTTTGACAGGTTTGGTCGGGTATGCGATTTCGCTTTATAAACCCAGTTGAGCTGATAGCTATTCTAATTACTAATGTTCAAAATTTCTATTATTTCACTGCATATTTCGCAGTGTTATGATCTTTTTTATAGGATGAAATGTGGGTTCGATTCCTGCCTGCGGTCGTGTTTTTTGCTCGCCACTCAATTCTCTTAGGACTATAGAAAAGATTATAACACTGCGAAATATGCAGTAAAATAATAAAAATATCGAATATTAGTAATTAGAATAGCTATCAGCTCAACTGGGTTTATAAAGCGAAATCGCATACCCGACCAAACCTGTCAAAGGTTGGTGGCTGATAGCTAACATTGAGATGTTGAAGAATAGTGGTCGGACAAATGTGTCTCAGTGGTTGTAGTGGTAGAGCACGCGTCCCCGGATAGGATGAAACGTGGGTTCGATTCCCCTCCCGAGGTCGTGTTTTTGTTCGCCACTCAATTCTCTTAGGACTATAGAAAAGATCATAACACTGCGAAATATGCAGTGAAATAATAGAAATTTCGAATATCAGTAATTAGAGGTAGATTTAGAACATGGTTGAGAGGAAGACAAACTAGGGGTTCCAAATGGTTTGGCAGAGATTACGTGGGCTCATATAAAAGGATACATTGGTGTTTGCAGTCCTGCTGTTCATATCTCAGCATTCTTGTGGCTGCATCTAACAATGCATCCTCTCATAAAAAGATTTAACACTAAATGAAAAGTTGGAAAATTGTGGTGTCTTCTTACTCAAGTTTACTTCATGACAATTGATCACTCAGTCTTTTTTCGTAAAAAATCCTGTCACATCAAGAAGATTTTTGCACTTCCACGACCTGTTTTCAAACAATGTTTTCAATACCAATGTCAATAAGATTTCTTTCGCAGATATCACCTATCTCCTTTGTAAACAGCTTGATCAGCAAATTTCCGATACCGGTTTATCTGTTTCATAGCCTATAATAGACGTTTTTGATGTTCTTATTATTTTAAGGCCATGAATCTGTTTGGCTTTAGTCTATCTCATCACTTCATACCTCATAGCAATGACAACCTCCATTTAGTTAAAATAAACCTCTTCTTCTTTATCAGCATGCTGGTGGGATAACTTAGCCTTTTAACATTACGCTGAGATAAGTTATTGAATACTTATGAACGCTCTGCTACGACTTTATATTCTTAGCACGTTTAGTTCTTATAGCACCGCCTAATCACGGAATCTGAATGAGCAAAATCATTTGCTAAGGCCTTTTTTGAAACAACAATGCTTACTGTTGAATATTGATGGCCAACTTTGCTTAGTTGGTTTTTCTTGTGTTCTCCTGACTTCAGTATTTCACCTTAAAAATGAATTAAGAATAAGTGAATTAGAAACAATGCGTTCAGCAAGAACTTGGATGAAGGGCCATCATGAAGGTAGAGAAGGGTAAGGAGATTAGCCAGCAGCTTAGAAAAAAGCAGCCTGCACTCTCCACAAAATGAGTAGAGATTCGAAAGATGAACCCTTTACTATCGTTTGTCTCACCAGCTGTCTAGTGACTCGAGCGATCATCAGCAAAGCTTCCATTCTTCCTATCACACACAAGAGTACCCAGTCA